ACAGGTGGAGGCGAGGGGAGAGGAATCACGTGGTAGGCATGGAATGGAACTTTCTAAAACACTAAAACTTCCAAGGAAGAGAAAGAGGGGGGGGGAAGAAGAGAAGCTGCTGAACAGAGCCATAAGTAGAATGCATGGCTCAACAGAAGGGCCATAAAAATGTATATGCACTGTTCTCTCTCCATTTTCTTTGACTGTTCTGCTGTTGAATAAAGTGGATTTGGCATTTGTGTGACTAGCGCCATCTTTTGAGAATATATCACACTACACACTGTGTAGTACTTTTGGTTAGACTTTGTGTTTGTGTCTGTAGATAGCTTCTATTAAAGTGTGTATACATTTTTTTGGGGACCTCTCTATATTTGTAAAAGTCATAATCTAATTAACTGGAAATTAGCTATTGTGTTACATATGCGATTAACTATTCGGAATAAAGTCCTATAAGGTAGACTTTTTGTCTTCTAACATCAGTCCCGTGGACTGTAATGGCCAAAGCATTGGTACTCATTGTTCTGTTACTTATTAGGTTTTTTAGTTGCTAGTGGGGTGGGACTAAGTCCCTTGTACTGTGGCCACTTCTGGCCTATTGTACCAGCCCCAGATGATAGATGAGGTGATTGTGGAGCAATTGGTTGAATGAAGATTGGCAGGGGAAACCGAAGTACTTGTAGAAAACCTGCCCCAGCACCACTTTGTCACCACAAATCCCACTTTACCAAACCCGGGCCACCATGGTGGGAAGCCAGCGACTAACCGCTTGAGCTATGGCAAGGCCTACTTATTAGGTTACAGTGTATTGTGTCCTCTGATACTTTTTTACAAATTCAGGATCAAGCTATGGACAGTTTCACTGCTACATGTATGATGATGTGCTTTGATGTATTTCCTACACGTATTCCAGCTCTGAGATCATTCCTGTCCTAACTGTTGGGAGTATCATATTATAGTTCTGCCAGCCTCCCCTATTTTTAATAATATGCGTGAATGTGAAGATAATAGGAGGATAATTAGAGATTTCTCTAGTAATCTTGTTTTGTATTTAGAATATTCTTATTTTTACTTTTGAAATTGTAATTTTTACTTAGGTTGCCTTAATTTGAGGGAGAAAAAGATATATTTTTTATAAGAGAACTGTTTATATCAGTGTTAATCACCCTTAAATCGATTATGCACTTATTTTTAATTGGTATTTATTTACT